AAGAGCTGGCTTCATTTTTGCCAGTGAAAATAGCTAGCATACCACAAGAAATACGTATCTAAAATTAAAATATTTAGATGTTCATGTCCCATTTTTCTCCCCAATAGGGACCTAAAGTGGCTTATAGCAGCCAGTTTGGTGTAGTGGTTGTGCGCGGACTCTAATCTGGGAGAACCGGATCTGATTCCCGACTCCTCCACATGCAGCTGCTGGATGACCTTGGATCAGCCACAGTTCTTTCAGAGCTGTTCTCTCGAGCAGTTCTCTGAGAGCTCTCTCTCTCAGTCCCCACCTACCTCACAGGGGGTCTGTTGTGGGGAGAGGAAGGGAAGGAGATTGTAAGCCACTCTGAGACTCCAAGTGAAGGACGGGGTATAAATTCAATCTCTTCTCTTCCATTTTCTCTTCACAACAACCATGTGATGGAGAGAGAATGACTGGCCCCCAAACACATCTTCCCTAAAGTAGGATTACTTTTCCTCTGAGATAAGCTGCACCTGTTGCATATTTGCAGAAGCCACTGCTCCTTCTTAGTAGGAGACACGCCCCACTTAAGTGACTCATTCAGAAACAGAAGGGCCTGGGACCTCTTGACTTGTGTCCAGCTGTTCTTACACAAAATAAAAAGTCCTTCTTTGGCTATAATTTTGTTGTTCAGTCGCACAGTAAGTGAGAGCAGTTTTAAGCCACAGATAAGTTATGTTGCAACTCTGTGTGAGTCACTGTTCTGATCTTATCACCTACTAGGTAGGAGGTACACACTTCAGTGGCACATTCAGAAAACACAGAGGGCAGATGGTTACTTAAACATTGATATATGTTATTGAAATATTTATACTCTACTCTTCCTTCTCATTAAAGAGAAGAAGTGCTAATAAACCTTTGGGGACCGTAAATAGCACCTCAGATTTAAAGGTGGGGGGACAGTATATTTCTATTAGAAGCCTGAGAAGCAGAACACAGAAATTTACACAGGTGCTCTGTCCTCCCCTCCAGGATATTATACCCACCCCCACCCCCGTTTAACAGTGCAGGATGGCCATCCAGTGGAGAAGATCACTGGTCAAGACATGTAAAGTTTGATTCCCCCCCCCCCCATAATGATGCTACAAAATGAGTTAAGATAGAAAGCAAGGGAGATTGCTAAACAACCACCCTTGTGAGCCACTGTTCCCCAAAATCGTTCACTGTCCTAAGAGCGGTGTGGGAAGAAGCAAGTCGAAAGAACTGGGAAGCTCCAAAAGGAATGAGGTTGGCATGGAAAGTAGGATGGGAGGCAGCTGGCTATTGTACAGGTATGGACCCTACGGTCCCTGAACGTCCCACCCCCCTCTCTGCATGGA